TCAATGAGATCACAGGGCGTAAAAGGACGAAAGAGGGGCAATTGTCTGGAGCAAGTCCAACAGAGCGGGTAGTAACCTGGTTCACTCTTTTCCGTAACCTGCTTGGTACCACACCTGAAGTGGATGATCCATGCAGATGAGGACATTCCAAGCGTCCTTGAAGACCTGAACATCGATGATGGTCCTTTTACCTCTGCCGAGTATACCAAGGTCAAGTTTTTGTTGAAGCAAGGGACGGTCCAGGCAACATTCCACACACCGGAAGTTCTCAAAAACTGCGACCTGGATGATATCGTGCTCCAAATGTGTAATGATGCTCTCACGAAGAATGAGAAACCGGATCAGTGGTTATGCGCAAGCATCGTCCCCGTACCGAAATCTGGCAACCTGTCCAAGACCGACAATAATTACAGAGGAATCCGCCTTTCTTGTATTGTTGCAAAGATGTACAACCGCATAATTTTGAACCGTTTGAGAGGAGCTATTAAATTATTTTATTTTATTTCTTTCTGGTAATGAAACCAAGGATCTCTCAAAAGTGCCCTAGGCACTGTAGCCCGAAAGCCTGAAGAAACCTGTAGAGAGAAGACAATAGGGAGGTTTCGCAAGCGAACGGATACGCTTACACTTACGTTTAGCTATCCGTATCCGTTTTTTACTTACGTGTAGCGAGCGAGATATGCGTGTCGTCTGCACGTATGACGTCATACGCCACTCACTATCCGCTAAACGTGCAGACGACACGCATATCTCGCTCGCTACACGTAAGTAAAAAACGGATACGGATAGCTAAGCGTAAGTGTAAGCGTATCCGATCGCTTGCGAAACCTCCCTAATGAGAAGAAATTACAGTTTTAGAGGTGGGAGGAAAAGCCCAGAGGAATATTCTGAGGAAAACCCACGGAATCAGGTAGGGACTGAAAACCCAATCCACAAATTGGCCCGGGCGGGATTCGAACCCAGGTCACAGCGGTGGAAGGCGAGGAAAGTACCACTACGCCAGCCTGACTCCCCTTCGGGGACCCTCACCGACCCTCACCTCCGGGACAATCAGAAGGGATTCCGGGCTAATCGCACCACGATCGCCCAGATACTGACACTACGACGAATCATCGAGGAAGTTAAATCGAATAACCTTTCAGCAGTGTTAACATTCATCGACTTTAAAAAGGCTTTCGCCGTCCATCGTGGGAAGATGATCAGGATCCTCAAAGCATATGGAGTGCCCCCAATACTTTATATCCGTGCCATAGAGTCGATGTATATGCGAACACCCGAGCAAAGGTGGTAACTCCGGACAGAGAGACTCGACTGGTTCAGTATCACAGCAGGAGTGCTACAAGGAGATACTCTCGCACCTTTTCTGTTCATCATCGTCCTTGATTTTGCTCTTCACAGAGCTATAGATGGGCGGGAAACTTAATTGGGTTTACCATCACTCCAAGACAGTCAAGGCGCCACCCTGCTGTTACAGAAACTGATCTAGACTTCGTAGATGACATCGCACTGGAGCAAGTGGAGCAAGCACAAGAACTTCTTCTCCTGGTCGAATCAGAGTGTCATAAGGTTGGTCTTTGCTTGAATGCTAAGAAGACTGAGGTGATTTGCATAAATACACCAGAGCACGAACCACTCAAGATACTTGAGGGGAGAGTGCTAAAAATTAGCCAGTCGCTTCAAGTACCTGGGATTCTGGGTCAACTCGATGGAGGGCGACATCAGGATCATGAAAGCCAAAGTTTGGAAGGCCCTGAACGACATGAGAAAGATCTGGAATTCAACGATGTGTAGGGAAGTCAAGATCTTCTTTCTTGCCACCGTCGAATCGGTCCTCCTCTACGGGTCCTCCTCTATGGTCGCTCACCCCTTGAGTGGCTGTTACACCCGCATGCTGCGGTCAGCTTTCGGCATCTCCTGGCCGGAGAAAGTGACCAACGTCGTCCTTTACGGCGACCTCCCGAGGGTGGGTGACAAAATAGCGGCACGCCGGATGCGACTTGCAGGGCATTGTCAGCGCCACCCTGAGCTCAAGGCCCATGCACCAGGTGGTTCTGCAGGAGCCAAAACATGGCAGGAAGAGGCGGGGTAGACAAGCTTTGTCCTACGTGGGGGTGCTGAAGAAAGACATGGAGTGGAGACGGCCGGCGAGCTTGCCACCTTTATGCCGGGCGGACTGGAGGGAGTGGGGCAGTCGAATCGAAGCCCGGCTTGATGATGATGATGATGATTATTAAACGAACTTAAGTTATAGTCTATACCACGGCGAACAGGAGACTTGTTGCGTGGATAACGGGTGATACTCAGACTACCCGTTGGCATGTTAATCGCGAATGTTCCAGGTGTGCCATTTTGCATTCTAAAACGGAAAATTCATAAAACTTTAAGCAAAACCACTCCTTATGAAAAATATACTTATTCCAAAATTGTCAAAAAATATATACTTCAGGATAATTTCAGAACCATAATAGAGCAATGAACAGAGTAGAAGGCATTATGCAGTTTTTGTCGTCATAGATGAAGTATTTACCCGGGAAATAAACGTCAACTTTGACATCTTTTTCGAGGAGAACACCCAAATCTCGTTTTTAATTAGCCTTTCATCAAAAAGTTTTAGAAAGATGTGTTCCCGAACCGATAAAACAAATGCGACATTTCATAGTTCATTTTTAAGCTAAAGATAATGAGTCGTATGATTAAAAACTATCAAATGCTGGGAAGTTTAAGCAAAAAGTTAAAACATACTTTGGATTGAAAACATTCAGGAAAAGCAAATGCTTGATTCCGTATGAATAAAAGTTTTCCTATACTGTTCAGAATTTACTACACTCAACCGAAAAAAGTCCCCCTTTAATACTTTTTTTTGTTTAACTCGAAAAATACTTGCACGTATACAAAAGTGCAACTGTTTTCGGTATCAGTTTGTCATAAATTACATAATTTCGTACACATCATCACTGTTTTGGGCTAAATAGCTGGATTGCTAAGGAATTTGTGTACTGATTCTACCTCACCATTACCTCCATTCCGACTCACGTACTGATTAGTCGTTATTTGAGCGAGAGGTGCTGAATTGTTTTTGAGTTAGACAAAAAAGCATCGAAGGGGGGTGGGGGTGGAGACCTTCTTTTTTGGGTGAGTGTAATGAGTGCGTTCGATTACTTCCCCCAGCTCTCGCGTCTGCTCCGCGCGTGATGACAGACATGCGCAGTGGGGCTAAATAAACGAGCGGTTCGGGTAAAGTTTCGTGCAAGAGCTGGAAAGTTGAACTTTGACATGACACTGAGGCTGCATCCGAATCAAATGTCTAGAGCTAGGTCTAGGCACTGATCTCTATTATAGTGACATTATAATAGAGATCAGTGGGTCTAGGTCTAGAGCTAGGTCTAGGTCCGCACCCATTACGCAGGGACGGGCCGCAATAGACTGCAGCTGTAGCTCTGGAAGCACACGGCCTGAGGCGCCCGCCGGACGTCACGTTGGCAGCCATGTTTATTGCATGGCCTTATGGGATCAACCTCGTCCCCAGGGTGTCGAGCAGTACGCGCCCATCACTACCTGCTCTCTCACCCTGGTATTGGATCATTTGCATGTGCAAGATTTTTGAACACGTATGCAAATGAGGAATAGTCTGGTGCCTGCATGTGCGTTACATTAGCGCTTGTTTTTGTATGCGGTGTCTTGGGTAAAAACAGAGTCAATTCGTCGCAGCGCGAGCATGGCGTGAGTTACGAAAACACGATTTTTTTTAAATTAAACTGTTACGATCTTATCGAGACAACATGCAGTATCACTTTTCATATTAATATGAACAAATTGGGAAGGAAATGAGTATTTTCGAGAAGGCGTGGACGATTGATCGCGAAAACACGTACTGCACCATGTGAATAACAACATCAAGTACACGATATAAATCCATTTCTATCGAATCGGGATACAAGAAGAAAGTTTCCTATCCAGGGATTACTATTGGAAACGTGGTTGGAAATAAAGTAAGCACTGGGGACGAGGCTGTTATGGGATACTTACCCAACTAAAACCGGCTCGGCGAGTCGGTTACTTGGGCCAGGCTCGAGTAAGCGCGAGAAGTCACGTGAGAGGTAAATCGAACGCTGTCGCGCTTGCACGAGTAAGTGCGGGGGAAGTAATCGAACGCACTCGGTGTTGGAATGTTTTCATGGACGTATACCACGGATCCTAGACACCAGGATAAACGACTGTTCTGAGCTCTAGTACAAAATGCACTCAGTGGACTTGCCTTAATTGGTTAAACGCGTGATAACGGGCATTAATACCCGTTGGCGCGTAATCGCGAATTTTCCAGATGTGCCATTGTGTTGGGTTTTTGCACGACATCTAAAACGAAAATATTCATAAAACTGTAAGTAAAACTACTTCTAACTTAAGATATAATTGTTCCAAATTATTTTAAAAATAAATACTTCAGGATATAATAGATGGTATTGTGCACTTTTTGTCGTCAAAGATGAAGTATTTACCCGGGAAATAAACGTCAAATTTCGAGGAGAACACCGTTTACCCAAATTTCGTTTTTAATTAGGCTTTTATTAAAAAGTTTTAGAGAGATAGGATGCCGAACCGATGAAACAAAAGCGACATTTCATTGTTCATCTTAAAGCTAAAGATATTGTGCTCGGCATGGTTATGTAGTTATCACTTATCAGAATTCAATAATAAAGACCAAAAACGTAGACTCATGAATATTCAAAAATATAATTCGCTGGCTTGATAGACTTCGAGGCCAGATCGGGCGAAGAGCCTTGCAAATCTGAAAGCCACCGCGCACAGTGGTCTTTGTTGAAAAGTATTCATGGTTTATATCACGCGTCTAACCAGGAGTTGGGACGAGTCGTTAATCCTTGTGTGTAGGATCCGTGGGTATACGAACTGCCACACACACGTAGGGTTTCAAGTAGGATAATACCTAGTCCAAATCAAGGTGATGCATACAGTACGTGTACAGTACATGTAGTTGGTATCCAGCAGAAATGATGAAGACACTGTTCGCCAGTTGCAGACACAGTAGTTGCCACCTGTACGGGCAGCTATAACGCTGACCAGGAGTTGGCCGAGTCGTTCATCCTTCAGCGTTGGATGCGTGGACCAACTGACCTATAGGCGTGCATCATATCAAAATTACATGTAGGAAGAATTGTGTACAAACTATAATAATATTTTTTAGCCTATAGCCGAGTGAAAATATCTGCCCAATCGTTCCAACTTTGATTTGTTGATTTATTTCTCACTTCGCCACTAGGACTTAAGTTTGAACATGTCAGGTAGGTCATATTGCTGACGTATTATAGCTCCATGGTAATTGGGATTCTCATAGTAGTACTGTGTATGAGAACATGCAACACAAGAAAATAGACTGGCACTGCACATGAAACCAGTCCAACAACCTTTCAGTTGAAATCCCATGGCTTTACTTTCAGGTGCAAAATGTGAAAAAAAAGTCTCCTTTCAAAATTGAATTGAGACCTCAAACTTGGCTGATGAAATACTGAGGACCTAGTCGGCTTTGCCCCATGAACATGGTGGCTCATTGGTCTGATCTTGTTTTACATGCTTTTCTGCACTCAAGGTCCCAGTCTGTATAGCCAAAGTACTGAGCTAAGTAAACTTACTTGAAATACTTGTACTTTTTTTGTAGTCGTATAGGCCCTAACCAAAAATTTTACCAATGTGCAACAGGCTGGCTCGGCGCGCGCAAACATTACCGTTGTGATTTAGATATCACGAGGCGAGGCGGGTTCCAGACCTACATACGTCGTGCATATCACCCGGAATTCCGGGCAGTGGATACCAGTTTCACCACAAGTTACCGGACCCAATTTTTGAAGTCCACTATTAAAGAATGGGGTCAGTGAGCCAGACTAATACCCGCCCCCAATGACTTTGGATCATTCGACTCAGTGCGCAGTGGATGGACCGGGAACCAGTCTAGGTTTCCCAAACTCTCCTTTTCTGGCCGTTACATGCGAACAAGAGAAATACATGCAAACGGAGCCCATAGGGCTGGGTACATGGAATAACCACCTTGGTACTGCAGAAGGGTGTCATATTTTTCATCTAGCTAACACCGGTTAATGCTAAATATTCGATTAACTGAATTTGAGATAATGTGTTTTTTTCCGACTCCACATCAGGTTCTGAGGCAGATATTGGGGAAACCTTTAAAGTAAGTGAACCAATTACTTTGGAATCTGAGGAAGGCCAGCGGCTTCTGGATGAAGCTGAAGTTCGTCAAGACATCTTAATGGACGTGTTTGATTTCCAGCAGCACTATTCGCACTGTGGCATACAGAGTGCAGCGCTTCTTCTTGCATCCTTTGAATGTGGAAAAGCGTGTCGTGAAGCAGGGCATCGCAACTTCAGACACTGTAAGGACATTAAGGAGCAGTACCACGGATTTGCTATGTTCGCCTTCAAGGAGACCGAGGAGATCATTACCCATGATGTCGTCCAGAAAAAAGGCACCTCATTGATGGATGTAGGCCAGTTACTCGTCAGCCACAAACACCAAGCTACGATGTACTTTGGTCAAGAGTCCTCCGTGGATGAATTCCGCTGTCTAGCCGTGGAAGCCCTGCGCCATGAAGATTCCAGCGCTGGAGTTATTCTGAACTTCCAGCGATACCTTTTGGGTCAAATCGGGAAGGCTTCCAAGTTTGGACATCACAGTCCCTTTTGCGCGTATCACAAAGCCTCTGACCGCTTTCTAATGCTTGATACTAATGGTATTGTCATGAATGCTGGCAAACCCAAAGTGTGGTTAAAGACCGAAGATTTGTTTCAGGCAACGCAAGATGTTGATGTAGCTACTGGAAAGTCGCGAGGATTTGTGATCATGGGTGGTGTTATCTGAACATACTTTCAGGCATTTTATTAACTTGGAGCATCTCGTGTTTATTTAGAGTATTGTAGCATGTATAATGGTTCAAAAACAGGCTTAAATTGTTTTTAATGAATTCAAATGTTGCAACAGTGTACCCCTTTAAATTTTAAATCTCAACCATTTGTCAGACTGTTTGAACAGAAAACTAGCAGACTTTATTTGATTTTCTTTGCCTGTCATTTTTATCTGGAAGACTTTCCTTTATTAACTTGGAGCATCTCGTGTTTATTTAGAGTATTGTAGCATGTATAATGGTTCAATTTTATTTAAAAGGATAGACTTAATCTGAGGCCAGTGTTTTCCTAATATAAAATACTTTATTATATACATATATTTTATTACATACATGTTTTTTCAACTATATTTTACTATTTTGTTAAGCTAATGTTCCAGTCTTCCAGATAAAAATGACAGGCAAAGAAAACCAAATAAAGTCTGCTAGTTTTCTGTTTAAACAGTCCGACAAATGGTTGAGATTTAAAATTTAAAGGGGTACACTGTTACAACATTTGAATTCATTAAAAACAATTTTAGCCTGTTTTTATAATAAATATTTATTTCTCATTAATATGTATGCTAATTAGTCTAAGGTCTCGGTCTCGGTCTCGCCCATAAGATATCGGTCTCCGAGTCTCGGCTTTGGACCCTTCGGTCTCGGTGTCGGTCCTAAGGTCTTGGTTTCGGTCTCGGTCTCGAGCTTTCAGGTCTCGACTACAACACGGGTTTTATTATTCATGCTGTGCACTGACATGGTGCCATTTTGAAGAGTATTTTACACACTAGAAGAATGTTGTCTTTATTATCTAATGCAATAACATATGGACAATTCAATGTGAGCAGCATTGATGAATATAGGAATGACTCATAATTGTTTAATTCATTAATAGAAATAAGCAGTTATCTATAACCATCACGTTAATTAAAATGGACAGACTTTGATATTTTGTATTTTTATCCATGTAATATGAGTGTAGTGTTATTGTGTGGATTAATTGATTTTGTTATAGTGGTTGCTGGGCCTGGGCGAGTAGTGGATTTTCCTACTCGAGTACTCGCAGAGAAATTACTCCCCAGTAGTCGAGTACTTGCGAGTAGTTTACTAAATCCCCATCAAAACAAAAAGATGGCATAAACATTACGAAGAAGGAAGTTACTACGAATAAAAAGCGTTGAAGGCACACCGCATTTTTTAGCACTGAGATATGCTTACTATATGCACAATTTTGGCACATTTTACATGAACGTTTATTTATTGAGAGTGAGTAGTGGAATTCCAAGGCAACAGATGGAGGTAGCGATTCCTTTACTGCAGGGGATGCAGTGAGATAAAATACTAGTTTGGCGCAGAAACCGCAAAATGGTTACTTTTTTTTCTAAGTCAGCATTAGTTGTGCAAAACAAAAATGGTACTCGCGAGTACATGTACCTATTTCTACTTGCGACAGGACAAGTACTCGAGTAGCTGATGAAAACCACGAGTAGTACAACGAGTAGCAAATACTACTCGTGAGTACTCGGTATACTCGCCCAGCAATAGTGGTTGCCACCATTAGGACTTGCATATGATCATCGCCTTCTCGAGCATTCATCTCGTGCTTCATGTGTAGCACCAAGATGAACATTGTGAGTAGGGTATGGTTATGTTTGTCTTAATGATTAAAAATCATTGGACAACTAGAACAACCTTAATGCTGGATAAGTGAATGTCGATTTACTAAGTGATCATTTGACAGACTGTTTAGTCTGTTACAAAGTTTTGTGATCATGCGTTTGGTGTAAGTTGTGGAGAATAAGGATCTTTTAGATTTCAGAAATTAGAACCAAGTTTGAACTTCGTGCATGTTAATATGGCAAAGTTGAAGACTCGATCTCTCTTCCTTATTCCAGATGGGATTTTATATCAATATTCGAGTCAAGAAATGTTTTTTTTATTCACTTTAACCCTAAGGGGCCGGGTTATTTTGACCATCTCTCAGCCGGGGGGGGGGGGGGGGGGGCGGCGGATTCCGCCCCCCCCCCTACGATCTCGGCCATCGAGTGACGAAAAATTTTGAAACTCGGCACATGCATAGAGCAACTCTTTCTAAAAATACCCAAGAAATTTCATGACTATAGGTCAAAGGGTTTTGGAATTATGGCTAATTAATTATTCATTGTTCGAATTATTCATGTACGAATGGCAATTCTGCTCTGTGTACACGACGTATATGCGAAAATTCAGTTTTCACGATTTTTATGTTTGTGGTATCAAAAGATGCGCAAAGCTCGAGGCTAAAAAATCATAACAGCTCAGGTCGCGAAAAATTGTTTTTTAGAGGCTATCACGGAAAAAGTTGAGGGGGGGGGGCGGATGTCACATTGGTAAATGTAATTTTATTTCGACCCAGTAGACAATTTGGAATTTGAATTAAATCTATCACTATATATTTGTAAATTGATGCTTCTTTGAATTTCCTTTTTTAGGCTGCAATCCTTGTTTCCTTAAATATTTGGGGTTTAGGTACACTATACCCACTCGGTACCATACCATTTTGAGCACATGTTTGCTAGACTTAGTTGGATGTCATTTTCTGAAATGGTCGAGTATCGGACAATGCCGGCAGAACACATTTTTTTTGTTGGCCGGCGGTGTATTTTTGTTCTCGATTAAACCAAAAATTCCGCCTAAATTTTTACTATGAAAAGCAAGAAGGGTTCCGATGTATTGCTTTTGAGTTTTGTAAGTGGGTGTACGCATTGTAAATATTCAAGAATAAACTCGTTTCGCCCGACCCACAAAGAATGCCGAACTGCCGATAACGTCATTATAACAGCGATTAAACAGCGATATCCGACTGACGCGATTAGAACGACAGAGGACGCAAATAATTCGCGTTTGATTGTGCACAGTGAGACTTTATTAAAAAGCGAGCTCATTAGCATGGAAAGTGCCCCACAACTTTTTTTGTAAAAGGAGACCGTTTGGCTCAAAAAAAGAAGGTGGAATTGTGTATATGGCCGAGGGTCAACTCCCTGGTTTTTGGGCTTCCATCTGAGGTTGAAAAATGGGTCGTATTTGCCCCAGAAATTGAAGGGATGCCATGGCTGCGCGCAGGCTTGGGTCTTGGCCGACCATTACTAACACATTGTCGTAAAGGTTCGTATCTAAAAATTCCTACGCAAAACCCCCTACACCGGGGGTGTGTGTAAAAAAAATCAGACGGTTATTTATTACTCCCCATCACGCTTAATTAACTTCGGCAGCGACCGTAAGCCCTATTTTAAAGAATATGTTAAGACAGGATCAAGGTACCAACTTTTACGACAACGCCGGGTAGTAATGAAAAAGGCTTTTCTTGTTTACAAATGTATAAACAAAATTACTCCTTTGTATATGACAAATCTGTTTACACTATTAATTATTCGGATTCGTAAAACACAAACGAGACAATCCACTGACATAGCACTGAAGATTCCTTTTGCGAAAAAAAATGATGCCTCCAGCTTTTCTGTTACTGGTACAATCGTTGAGTTCATTCAAACTCAATGCATTCATAGCTGACGGACGTGCTTCAGACCGCTCCCCGAAAATTCAGCAAAATTAATCATTGTGCCGCTCATCGAAAATAATTTAATCAACACGCCTTCATCATAATAACTCCCCTAACATGGCCGAATCGTCTGAGCCGAAAAAAACATCCAGAAGCAGCAGGAAAAGAGATACATCCAATAAGGATCAACCGGTACTGCCCGCTTATGACACTGACACAGACCAAGATGGCTGCCATCAATGCACCTGCCAGAAGTCAAACATCGAAATCCACACGAAGCTGGATAAAATCCTCCAGACCCTTACAGCACTGGGTGCGAGAGTCTCTGAGGTAGAGGAGAATTTAAACAAAGTAAGGCAAACAGTGTCAACCCATGATCGTGATTGAAGATCTGAAGGCCAGTCTGGAAATGGTCGACAAGCGTATCCGAGACCACACCGCCCTCATCAACTACCAAATCTACTTGTACAAAGACACACGATCCAAGAATTCTTTGCCCTTGCCTCCAAGCTCTTTATTTCTCCCTGTCGGGCGCCTTAATTGTACATCCAATTAATTTGTCCATAATCATTATCAACTTACATGTACATCCTAAATCATGATCATGTCCATCCAATCAATTTGTTCATAATCATTAGCAACGTACATCCTAAATCATGATCACAAATTAGATAGCATATCTCTCATTATAATGCTTGTCAAGCAAGTAGCTTGTTCTAAACACATATATATATAACTGGTCTCGAACTCAAAAGGAGTAAACTGCAAACTTGTAAATTCAAGCAACAAACAGGTCTTTTCCCCCAATCGGGGGCTTATTATATATGAACCCATGCAAAACTAGTTCCCCGAGAATTACCCTGGTTATTCCCTGGACTGAGAGAGGTTGGGTCAGCCGCCCCATTCGGCGGATGGTTACTCCGCCGAGGCCGAGAGCCCCGTGGTCCCCGGGGTCTCGATGCCTCCCCCGGCGTCCCGGGGCACCCCGTGACAAGGCCTGGCGAAGGTAACTGGTCAACTTTCGTGACCACCTGACCAAACCCTGGCACAGAGGAAAAAAACAACCCCAAAAATTAACTCCAACAATTTTTTTTTTTTGGCCCATTTTTTGATTGTGCGAGGTTACAAGGTACTGAGGTTGCGGCTTCGCTGGACAAGTGCGCCAATTATCTTACAGGAATCCTGCGGACTGCACAGCCAACATGAAATCACCAATGAGTATATCTGAACCGGCATCTGACAGATGGACACCGTCGCACCTGAAGTACCTGTGTTCGTGAGTGGCGAAACTATTGCTGATACAGGATGCATTAGCGATCCGCAGTACTCTTCTTTTGGCGTACTTATTCAACGATTTGTGGACATTCTCTATCTTTACTTGTGACGTGCAACGCTCATATCCATAAAAAAACAACCTGGGTAATATTGCCGACCAAGTGAGATGCGCCTGTGGAAACATCTCCCTTGAGGATTTAATTGCTGTTTCGATCGCTTGGCGGCATTCTTTGGCAGGCCATTTACCCAAGTCGTTCGACCCTATAAGTGAATTATAATCATATCTGGGGACAAACTACGACGCGTTCGTCGTTGGAGCTCGCTCGGAAAGTCCTGGAGAGTTGCTCCGCCTTTTCCCATCCATGTCACTACTGATTGAGACAGTCCCAAATTCTGCTTTCCTGTGGAGCTGGCTCTCTCATTTCGTCGCAGAGCTGACAAACCGACGAATAAGCGAAAACCTTGTTTGGAGTAATTCGCGTTTGAAGTTGGACACTTCTCCGGGCGCCGTATTTTACCCTTAATGTTTCGATAAAAAAACTTTTAGTATATATTCTGAATAAAATATGAAACTAAGTATCCACCAGGTCACTTATTTAATCAGAGAAGTTGTGCGATATGATTTTATTTGATCGTAAACGCATTCGTCAGTTTGTCAAATTACATTAATCTGCAATATCCGGTTGTTCTTCATACTGTTTGTATGCTATTCGTCAGTTTGTCGGATCGCGCGTGCACGCACGCGCAATCCGACAAACTGACGAATAACATTCGTTGGTACTTTGAATGCACACCTTACATAAGCTGGTTACCAGCGAAATGTTTGTATGCTATTCGTCAGTTTGACGAATGACATTCGTTGGTACTTGGAACGCACACCTTACATAAGCTGGTTACCAGCGAAATTTCGTATTCGTCACTATGTAAAATTATGGATTTGTTTTTGTGAGTGATTCGCCACAAGGGGGGCTCTGAATCTCAAAATCCAGACAATTAATATTAAGAATTTTGGCATAAATACTTGAAAGAGCAACCTTCATAAAGCCTAAAAATAACAAAAAATCGAAATCGCCAAAATGGTCGATTCGCCGGTTTGTCAGCTCTGCGACGATTTGCTCTCCGAACGAGACTGTTGCCGACCACCCAGAC